CTACTATTATTTATTTTAAAATTATTATTACCATTATTATTACTGCTGTTGCTATTGTTATTATTATTATTATTATTATTATTCCCATCTTCCTCGCGAGTCCTTTTTCACCAAAATATTCTCCACGTCATCAACTTCATCCTCACCACACACCGGCGTCTGTATTGTAGCGGTTAGGGTTTTTCGCGTCATACACAGTACACAGTAGTCCCGAGTTAAACATGCTTTATGAGATGTTGTTGTATCCCTCTCCTTAGCCCAGGGTAGCCCTGACAGGCAGGGTCGGAAACGTGCCTCTTCAATTGATCGCTTTTAAGCACAAGCGGGCTATCCTGAAAATAAAAATGCTGTTTTGAGAAAATGGAAGGTAAAGTTTATGCCCCATGTTCAGTTTCTATAAAATACAAGGAGAATTTTCTCTATCACGAAACAAATATTTTTATACACACCAATGAAACCAAACTTCTCCTATAGGTAGGGCAATGCCCACTTTTGGTGTAGGTCAGGATTTCTGGGCGACCACTAAATTATATCGGCGGGAGCGTAAAAACGCCAACATTGGGGGTTGGGGGGGGGGGGGGTCTCCCTTTTTTTCTATACGAGTGAACTTGTCGAATGACGCTTCGTTCTGTCTTTCTGCACGGGTGAACGTCATAAAGCAGGCGTCGTTTGGAGATCCATGCGATATATAGGGTCTATAGACTCGGGTGAGATAGGTGTAAGCTCTTCATTGACAGATTAGAAAGGCGCTTATTCTGTCCCAGAAGAAAAGAAGACACAGGTGAAACGAACGTTTCAAACATTTCGATCAGAATAGACAAATGTTTGCACTATTGCCTCTCGCCTTACTCAGACAATTATTGATTTGTATTTAAAAATCGATAATACGATATCACAGGTGGTTGACGATAAAAGGCTAGGATCATAATACTTGTATGGGTTTTTTTTGTTTTTTGTTTGTTTGTTTGTTTGTTTGTTTGGGTTTTTTGTTTTTTCTTAGATGATCTGTGCAAACCCCGAATGGCGAACCATGATGTCTGCTTCAGATCTGGCACCTCATGATAAAGTTTTAAAAAGTTGTTCCCGCATCCGATCCGGACTTTGGGGGTTGCCTTGTTAGGCGAGTACCGCACTACGGCGTTCTAGTCTCGGACAGGACTGTTTTGTCCCGCTGTCGATTTTTTGCGTGTCAAAACAGACACCGCACGAGGACAGGACTGATCCGGCTTTTCTGTTGTTGCCCACGGCGGGGTTAAAAATTCATTCCAAACATTTCCTAAATATTATCCAAATTTTAAAAAAATAATGAGATTTTCGTGACCAAAATTAGCAAAAATAACAAGAATGTCGTAGTGCGGTACTAGCCTAAGTGAGACAACTTACTGGGCCTTCAGCATATTGTGGTAGGGTGGACAGTTCCTTTCCACGCCGCCTTTACTTCCCCAACTCGAAGTCAGGTACCCATTACTGCTGGGTGGGCAGGAGAGGGTGAAAAAACATCCGTGTCCGAACCGAGGCTCGAACCCGGACTTTCCGCTTCGGAGACGAGCGCACGAACCGTTCCGCAACCCCATCGTTTGCGTGTGTGTTTGTGTGTGTGTGTTTGTGCGTGTGTGCGTGTGTGTGTGTGTGTGTGTGTGTGTGTTAGTGTGTGTGTGTGTGAGTGTGTGTGTGTGTGTGAGTGTGTGTTTGTGTGTGTGTGTGTTTTGTGTGTGTGAGTGTGTGTTTGTGTGTGTGTGTGTTTTGTGTGTGTGTGTGTGTGAGTGTGTGTTTGTGTGTGTGTGTTTTTGTGTGTGTGTTTC